TATAAAATACTGTATGCTGGAGCTTTGTTCCTGATTAGCAGGGAGTTTTTCCTCTCCACCGTTTGCTCAGGATGAGAGACTGTGATGAAGTGATTCAACACAATCTGCTGGCTTCTTTAGATTGTTCTTTTTTCATGTACAGTGCCCTGAGATGACGTATGTTGTGACTTGGTGCTTTATAAATAAACTGAATTGAATTGAATATGACGGCTTCAAAAAAAAGTTTTAGAAGCTCAGTTTATTATGATAAATTGCTTTGCCATACTAGTTAGAACAATCCAGTTCAACGTTATAAATTGACTTGCCATAGTCCCTGCAATTACATTTATGGGATTTAAATGACCTTTGACATGGAAGGAGCATAAAATTTGTTTCAGCTGAATAATGTATAGGTAATATTTATTTTATGCAAAATATTTGCAGTCATAGGCACTGTTTGCACATTTTGCCAATTTTATTCCCAAAAACAGGGATGCACTGATTGAAATAATGTCCGGCTGTGCTTTAAATGAAAATTTGAGTCACTGCATCAGTCTGCAACAAGCCATTGTGTAATAGTGATTGAGCTGGGATTAGTACGACCTGATATAGACGCTAACAGCGGGGTTTTATTTATTTATTTATTTCTGTACTCACAGCTGCCAAACTTGAGCGGGCAGGCGTGGGCGTCCATGGGGAAGTCCTCCAGCTGCATGGGGCATTCTGCTGAGATGGTCAACCTAAAACAAAGCACATTAAATATATTATTTTTTCAGCACTTTCACATTGATTTTAGATTAAAKATGGGACTATTATCAGCCCACCTCTGATGGATTAAGCTCCAGAATAACATTTTTTTAATGACATGCTGCTCAAATAATAATAAAAATGATRATAAAGTCAAAAGAGGCAAAGACAAAAAAAAGGCTTTAGTTTTAGTTTTAGTAACAATATTACCACCTAGTGAGCAAAAGGTGGAACTGCTTGCTTTTTCTTCAATTTTCTTATTTAAATGGATCTCAAGGTGACCTGAGTTATWATCAGATTTACTTTTTTATTAAAACAATATTACGTGTCACAAATACATAATTTGTATTTTCTGTTAACTAAATATAATCATTTATGTTCCTGCTGCAGACTTAAATGATTCAGACTTTATATCATCCATCCACCCATCCTTAGTTCAACATATTGTAGATATGCCTCTCACTTTTTAATCAACCAAAAGTATTGGAAAAATTAACAATCATCATTTTGTACTGAGTGATTTGTTTTAGACTGAATAAACTCCCTGTAGGTGCTTTTCTCATTATGTAGTTAAACTTTTGTTCTACGTTCTCATTTATTTATTACAGGGACAGTGCGTGTTAACAACATTTCTGTAAATATGCCAGAATTAGCTAGAAAGCTATTTTTCACTTGCAGTCCCCAGACAGATGGTAAAAGTCACCCTAAAATATTAAATGTAAAAGTATTAAATGTAAAACTACATAATTACAAAATAACAAATACAATACACTTTAAAATACTTAAAATATTATAAGCTAAAATGCCATACTTAAGGTGAAACAACAGCTCTTTTGTTTATTTTTATTGTTTTGCTCCTAATTACAGTATGCTTGTGTTGTCTGGGATGACCTAAAATCCACTCGGGACTTGTGTAGTTCTGCTCTGATACCTTCTTCAGGTACAGTTTATCAATTAAATCAATCAGGTAAACAAAGAGCAGCAAGGCGAGACAACCACGAGTCAGTTTTTAGGACGAAGGAGAAGGGCCATGTCTTGTAGGAGAACTAAACGAGAACACGACCGTTGGCAATTACAACACATTCTGATTATCATCAGCCAAAGGAGGGCAGGAGCTTAAATCAGATGATATTATTTCACAAACTTTATTCCAAACTGATGAAGTGATCAGTGACGTTATGGACCRGGCTGCTCCACACATAGATCCAGGAGATCTTTTACACCCAGAACCAGCAGACTGAACAGAACTGTGAAATAAGAGGCAGTTTGTTTGGAACCTGTTCCTTTAAAATCATCTATTGGTTTATTTTCAAACCATTTTAAAACATCCATCTGTCTGTCCATCCATCCATCCATCCGTCCGTCCGTCCATCCATAATCAATACCCACTTATTCCTTTCAAGGTCAAAGGGGTCACTGGTGCCCATATCCAGCAGCCACAGTGCGAGGGGTGGGGTACACCTTGGACAGGTCGCAAG